AAAAAAACTCTAAAGATAATGAATTTGATTATCATTATTTAAAAGAAATCGTTGAAAAAATTATTAATCAAAAAAATAAAATGGAAAATGAAAAATATTCAGTATATGTTTGTTTGGAAACTGGAATTTTATGAATAGTTATACAAAAGATATCAAAAATAGTAATTTAATATACAAAGGAAATACTAGTATGAATTATGCATCAGATGTTTCAGTTAAACTTGTTAGTTTTTTTAATAAACTTAAAAAAACTCGAGAGAAAAAAGATCTAGAATTTTTTTATATCAATGTTAATCAACAAACCAAGAATAAACTTCTAAAAAAAACTATAATTGCGATTTATAAATCAGATCCAAAACTTGAAGAGAGTGATATTACATATATTGATCATGTGAAAGATGATAATCCAAATACTAATTCTTTACATTTATTATATGATCTTATTAAACGAAGTATTGTTAGTAAGGAACAATACAAAGATAAAAATATTATTATAATTAGTAATAATTTAGCATTATCAAGTATTTTAAAATATAAATTTTATAAATGGGTGGCTAATAATTTTAAAAAAGGAGTTGATGTCATTATTGATGAAGAATATAATGAATTTCAGATATGGAAAGAAATGAAAAATTAACTGAATTTACACATATTGAAGATGCAGATCTTTTAAAAGAAATTTATAATCTTATGAAAAATAATAATAATACTATTGATGGTCTTACTTCACATAGAGAAGTTTCACATATTATCGATAAAAGTTAGACAAAAGATTAGTAGAAATGAAAGTAAATTTAAAAATAGGAAAAAAAGAATGTAATGATGATTTAATTAATTTAATTATTTATTTGTGTATCATTTCTTTTTAGTTTTTTAAAATTTTAGAAAAATCCAAAAAAATTTAAAAATTTCTTAAAAAAGATTTAAAAATTTCTTAAAAAAGATTTAAAAATATTACGTAATATTACTTATTTTTACTTATTTTATTATTTTTATTTTATTATTTTTTATTTTGTTTTTTTCCCATACCAGCAAATAAATTAATAAATCTATTTCTAGTATTACTTGATATTCTTTGTTCGGCGTTCTTATTTTTATATGTGATACTAATTTGGTTTTCTTCGATCAATTCTGATATTACTGGTGTTAAAACTCTGACTTGTATTTCTTGTTCTTGTTGATTATTCAATTCTTTCTGTGGGTTAGAGCAGTGCTGGGAAATTGGACAGTTTTGGTTTTTGGACATCATATCCAAAACCTGTCCAAAACTCCGTCCAAAACCAAAACTAAATTTAATTGGTTTTGGACAAATTTATATATATAAACT